ATTACAATTCACAACTCGTCTCCGGTGTTCTCCTACACTTTTGTTGAAAATTACTCACTTTGTTGTTTAGGGTCATTTGGAGCAGCAACCCCACTTCATTGTCCATCCACACTAACATTCATGCATTAGCCTTTTTTGTATGTTAAAACCTTACCAATCTGTAGAGGAAGAGTGTGTGCACATGCGCGTGTTGTTTCACTCTTAATTCACATCGCAAACTACTTGCCCGTTATGTCATGTTACAGCACTTGAAGTCGTTTGTCGAACCGTGTGCTCAGCGGTTGTTACCAAAAAGTTGTCATCTGAATGTTGAACTTTTTTAAAAAACTCAAACTAATAAACAATCCGTTCTCTATGATATGTTTTGTGTAAATGTGGCCTTAGAATAACAGTCTGAGCCTGTCAATGACAAAACAAAAACATTTGCTTTCATCCATCAAGGACTATGTTTCAGACATAACATACTGTTACTTCTTCACTGCTGCAGGTTACACATATCTACTGGAGACATTGTTTTATGTTTTATATGTATTAGTCACTTGGTGTTTTTTGTTGTTGAATTTCTATTATTAATTCAGAATAGTTGAGCTGACACTAAAAGTTCCCTCCTGTGGACTCGTTTCCTTCCTTCCTTGTCGTGTAGAGTAAAGTTCAGGTCATTTCTGTTTCCTGCTGCCAGTAGGACTACGTGACAGGACGCAGCATTAGACTTTGAATTATTGAGTGTTCACTGTGGAGCTGAGCACCAACACACACTCTGCGTCCTCCTCTGTATCTCCTAACGCTTTGTGAAAATTAAAAAAGTGAAACAGATGCTTGTTAAATGATCCTGCAGAGCTGCTGACAGAAATCAGATCTCCCTACAGGTTTCACGTTTCTCACCAGGACACCATGATACTCTCATTAATTAAGCATCATTTATCAACAGACGTGATAACAATAAGGTCGTCAACATGAACGATACTTTGATACTTTTTCACCAGGTGTTTTAAAACAATACAATCTCTGTTTCTTTTTATGATTGAATGTGTCAGTGAGTAACAAAAACTTTAATAACATACAAATATTTCATAAGACAGATACTTGGCAGAGAAACACATCCATCAAAGATTGCAGGCAAACTCCTGCACTCTGTCTAAATTGCACAAATACAGCGGCAGCTTTGCGGTACTGAAACTTGTTAAATGCTTTTGTACAATTTAGACAGTGTGCAGGGGATGGACTGCAATTTTAGGGGGCGTCAGGTAGCATTGCAGTTATGAAGTGCGTCCCAAGGACAGAGAATAAAAAAAACATCCCCAAAAATAACTTAATTAACAAATAAATGACCCAGTATTGGATGCCTAGGACTTCTTTCTTTGTTGCTGTGGTATTAAAACAAAAATCAATGTCATTGACTTTGACCAGAATCATATCAAAGTTTAAAATTCTGGTTGTCATGACAACCCCAGTGAACGCTGTTGAAAGTTGTATCTGCTGAGGTACTCTCTCTGATTCTTCAGGTGACATTTGAAGGTAAACCTTTGTCTTCTTACACTCTGAACCTGGACACTGAAACAAACACACTTCCTGAGGTCGGTGTTCAGCTCTGCCGGGACTCTTCTGCAGCAGAGGATCTGACCCCAGGTCTGTACTTCCTGTCAGCCCCCCCTCCTTCCCTCCCCAGCTCTACATACATCCTGCCCATGACATTTCCCTCAGCAGCTCAGACAGCAGGCTTGCGATCACTGAAGCGTGGCTCCTTCACTGTCAATAATTAATCATCTGCTTCACACATGTCCCACCTGGAGCTCCTCTGAGCCAGAGACACCAGCCTCTTTAAAATAAACCCCACATTCTTATTAAAAGATGTGTGTCCGGATGTTGCGACACTCACTTCAGGATACTATACATATGACATCTTTGGGTTCATGATACAATTTCATCACAATTCATGGTTTTCTAATTTTTAATGGTTTATGAACAAATATGATTATTTCATTTAAATCATCTGAAAGTCAAATGCAAAATATCCCTTTCTTTATTTTTCTTATTAAATGTTATACTTTTTAATTTTGAGGTTGTAACGTTACTAATTCAATCTATCAAATGATAACAAATGTTATCTTCAGAGACTTTACAGAAGAGCAGGTCTAGAGCTTACTCTTTGTTATATTATTTATTAAGACTCAACATGAATCCATCCTGAGAAACCTCGAGCAGAACCAGATTCATGTTGAACAGCCATCTGCTGACACTGTGTTGGATTTGAGAGGGAGAAGTGTTTTTTTTTTTAATAGAAAATAAACACTAAAAATATCTTACAATAACTCCTTTTTAAAACTTTGGTTTAGAAATGAATGATGGATTTAAAAGATGGATGTCAAACTATTCTCTACAGATCAAACATGGATTGAAGAAAAGATATCGGCCGTTATATTGGTGTCGAAATTTTTTCTTCCAAATATCGATATCAGTATTGACCCTAAAAATCCCATATCGGTCGGGCCCTAATATTTTGCCAAGTTGATCTAAAGGAGCAGCAGTTCAGTACATGTACATGGGGCGCGAGCACTTACCACAATGCTACCAGCGCCCTGAATTTGTCTAGATTTTTAATTGTATTGTTGTGTCTCATTAAATCCCTAAATGTGTTTGTTGTGTTTGTTTTAGAAGAGGCCAGCCTGAAGCGTCTGATGAGAGTCCGAACGATCCATTTGGTGGAGGATGAGGAGTGGCTGCCGAACGCTGTGATGGATATTTACTGGGACAAACTCTTAAAGGACGAATGTTTAGAACCACAGTGGACTTAGTTATAAATATTTTCTATCTACACATTATGTTCATGTTTGTGTTCAGATTTATAACTCATGTTTATCAATTTACTGTTCATGTTGTGATCATTTATTTACCTTACATATTGATCTTTGTCTTTCCTCTTGTTACAGACATGTATGTGTTATTGTTGTTTAGAGTTCAGTTACATGTTAAGAGCAGGTAAAAGTGAGTGTAGGTAGAAATCTATACTATAGAAGCTCACTAACACTCATTTGAGGGTTTGAATACGTGTGGTGTGAGTCTGTTCAATTTTTCTAAAATGTTAGTAGCATTTATTATAAAGACAACACTAAATATAAATGTATAGAATATAAGTGTTTGCTTCCATGTGTGGATAAAAGTGGCCATTACACTTTGCAATAACATTTAATCAACTAAATAAAAGCATAAGTAAGTCAAGATCTGGGGGGGAACGTTTTTTCTTTACTTGTTATCACAGGAAACCACTAAAGTAAAATATGTTAATGTTGGGCTGCCATACCAGCCAGTTTGATCGTTTGTAAATTCATATTTCCTATTAAAATATGTTTTAAATGCTGAGCAACAGGAGAAAATAACTAAGAAAGCCTGAGGCAGACTTACACTCATGTTTTATTTAAAACAAGGACATTTCAGTTCCTTCACTGGTTACCTTAATGATTCAATCGCTCAAGATCGTGAGAAGAACGCTGAAAATAACTCATCATCTTAAGAAAACCAGCGATACTGTGTCAAAATAATGTATACAAGTGAAGACAAACACAACAAGCAAATGTACTCATAATTGGAAACATTAGATTAAAATGTACTGAAGTGTGTCTGTTTTGGGCTTACATTTTTAAATGATGAACAACAGGAGGTCATATTTACGGAAGCCCGAATGGACATAAATCAATTTTTTTAATTCTTCTTAAAACAAGACATACTCACAGTATAACATAACTTTTATAATCTTCTCTACGCTTCTACCCACCTACCTTGTAGGTTCGGTAAACGCTTCCTCTACAGTCTTTTTACCCTATTGGTCTTTATCTTCTCAGATCTTTTTGAGGGGACAATTTGCCAAGTGGCTTCTCGTATCACTCTTATTCCCGACATGTCGATCACTGCAGTCTAGCAGTGACTGCATATTGTTTTTTGTTTGCCCGTCAACTTCTCCTTTCTCATTTCTTGACTCGGTGAAACATAAATATTTCCAAATGTCAGATTTAAAGCTGCTGGAGCATCCACAATTTCACAATCATCTCTCTGTTCTCCTCATGTTTGTATTATAGAAGTTCTCCCTCGCCAACTAACGCCTGTGTCCGCCACCTTCGCTGTATTGAGGCAGCAAACGGAGTGCAAGGTATGATGGGGATGCGAAGGATAATGGGCTCTATAGTTTCCCAATCCCTCCGCTCTGCTCCACTGTGGCTGAAACAAAACTACACTTTTTGCCTAAAAGAACCAGAGTTGTCATCCTGAGGAAACAGGATAAATATTTAAATGTCCTGTCAAATGTTTTGTTTAATGAAAAGCAACAGGAGTTTTTCAATGACAACCAGATAATATCTCAAGATTCGAGAAAACGGCAGAAATTAAGTCATTACCACGGGTAAAAAAGTGTTGATGTCCCTCGATAATTAAATAAATAAGTTGAGAAAACAACTGAAATTTACTCGTTAATGGTCAGACACACTCACAAATTTAAATCTCGTTGAGACAGGCGGCCAAGCTTCGCCTCGCACTTGTTTTCTTTTCCATAAATGTGTATAAACACCACACTTTTCTCTGTATGGACAATGTTCACATATTGAGGGAGAAAAGCGTCACTCACAAAGCATACTGGGATAACTCGCTGTCAATCAATGACAACCAGTGAGCTGCGGAGTTGGGCGGCATGTCTCTCGATGATATACATTTTTACAGTGTGTACACAACTTCATGAGGTGGACACGGAGTTCAATAAAGTGTATTGATGCATGTCTGCTTTGGACTTCCGTACATATTGCATAAATGAATACATTATTTAGTTATAAAGCGATATCATGTAGGGTGGCAGTTTATATGGTGTCACTCTGAGTTATCGTCCTGTGTTTCTCTGGTTTGAGCAGAGCAGGTAAATCATTAGTGTGTCGGTGCTGAATGTATCGTGTAGCGGTGATGTGCTGCTGATGTGACCGGGCAGGGGGCGGACTGAGCCGGGACTCTGCCCCCGGACACTCCCCTCAGTCCGCGGAGGACCCCCGGACACACGGAGCGGACCGAGGTGCGCTCGCCTCCGTTAAAGACGCACTTTTCTTTACGCATGTGGTAAGTTTACAGCTTCCTTTACTTTCTCGTGTGTTTTCAGATAAAGAAGTTAATGAGAGATAATAAAATATAGAGTATTTTAAGGCAGACCGTCTGCTCCGCTCTGTACCGCCTCATGTGACTTCTCTCAGGGAGAGAGGGACATTATACAGACTGCTGCGTTTTAAAGAAAGGCAAAACAATACATCCGTTTTATGTCCTCAATGTGAAAGTTTCGCATTTCAAATTTGACTCAAGCTATGGTGCGAAGTGTTAGCAACACAATATTGATGGTAAAAAGTAAAAGTATTTATTCAGAATGGCTCGTCTTGAAATAAAAGTATATTCCTGGTTTACAACCAGTGATGCATTCACGTGTTAATCACTTACATAAAGCAGCTAATATAAGGGTGTCGAAACTTTCGACACTTTTCCGAGTGTTTTTTTAATCATATAATCTCTGTTATATTGAAGCTCAATAGTATCGAAACTAGCCTATTAAAAAAAAAATCATCTATTTCATTAGACAGGTGTGTAGGAGGGGAATGAATCCATCAAAATTTGCAGGCCAACTCCTACATAAACTGCCTAAATTGCACAAAAACATTGGCAACGTTTCCTTATGAAACTTGCCAGTGTTTTTGTGCAGTTTAGACAGTGTGCAGGAGTTTGCCATTCATTGTTCATAATTGAATGCAAGAAATGATCCAACATTGGGTGTCTACGACTTCTATTATTCGTTTTACCACAAGTTCTGGTGGCATTCTAGTTGGCAGTGCCTACATATCCCAGGATCCATTGCGGACAAACTCCTGCAAATTATTATTGTGGACAACATTGATGTATCAGATTATTGTTTGGTATCTTTATTTCTCTTCTGTTTCGTTTCACACTAAGTGATAAAATGTTTGTCTTTATGTTAAAGGTTCTTCAGTGGATCTGTTGGAGATGTTTACATGGCAGGAGAGCCGCTCATGACATCTTTAGAGAGCAAGGTGATCAATTTAATTGATCTAATGAATAGAATTTCATGCACTTTAAATGTATCAGAATCATTTGAAAATGATAAATCAACCTCAGGTCCCTTCATAATAAAGCCCCCATGCTCTTCTTCTTCTTCATCCTTTTCCCCCAGAATGAAAATAAGATGTGGTCACCACATCCATAGGTTGAGACACAGGTGTTTCCTGTTCTCTCTGTCTCTGCTCGCTGTCTGTCTGCTCAAACTGGTCTACATCAAAGTCACCGTGAGGGACAGCGTCTACATCGAGCCGTATGGGATCACCAGCAGTAAAGCCAGGAACCACCTCCACAGGTACGACATTAACTGCACGGCCGTCTACGAGCTGGACCCGGTGGAGATCGGGAAAGCTCTGCAGATAAAACGCAAAGTGATCGTGGAGCTGGACGACGAGAGCGTCGTGAGTCTGACTGCGGACTGTCAGACGTTTATCAGAGCGAGGAGTTACAACGATGTTCCTGTGTCTGAGGCGGAGCGGGGCTTCCCATTGGCTTACTCTCTGGTGGTTCATAAAAACGCCCCCATGGTGGAACGGATCCTTCACGCCATTTACGCCCCTCACAACATCTACTGCATCCACTATGACCAGAAGTCGTCTCCAGCGTTTGTGAAGGCTGTCAAAAACCTTGCTCAGTGCATGCCAAACGTCTTTATTGCCTCTAAGCTGGAGTCTGTGGAATACGCTCATATCAGCAGGCTCAATGCCGACCTCAACTGCATCTCTGATCTGCTGAGGTCAGAGGTCAGGTGGAGGTATGTCATCAATCTGTGCGGTCAGGACTTCCCTCTGAAGTCAAACTACGAGCTGGTGGCGGAGCTAAAACAGCTGAACGGCAGCAATATGCTGGAGTCGAGTCGGCCCAGCGAGCTGAAGAAACAACGCTTCAGCTTCAAACATGAGCTGAGAAATGTGCCGTACGAGTACCGACGCATTCCTGTCAAAACCACCGCCGCCAAACAGGCTCCACCCCACGGGATCGAGGTGTTCATCGGCAGCGCATACTTTGTCCTGTCCAGGGACTTTGTGGATCATATCAGCAGCAGCGTCGTGGTGAAGGACTTCCTGTCGTGGTCGGCTGACACGTACTCGCCAGATGAACACTTCTGGGCCACCCTGGTCCGGATTCCCGGGCTGCCTGGACACGTTCCCAGGTCAGAGGCGGACATCACAGACCTCAGGAGTAAAACACGACTCGTAAAGTGGAACTACTTAGAGGGGAATCTTTACCCAGCATGCACCGGGACACACATGAGGAGTGTTTGCATCTATGGAGCAGCTGAACTTCGCTGGCTGCTCAACTTCGGACACTGGTTCGCTAACAAGTTCGACCCTAAAGTGGACCCAGTCCTGATCAAGTGTTTGGAGGAGAAGCTGATGGAGAAACGTCAGAGTGTGAAAACATGAAACTGAAGGAACTAGAGCAGTAAAAATATTTATTTTGTGTTGAAATAAAGGTGCTAATGTGATGAGAAACATCTGCTGAGTAACGTCTGAGACCTGATTCACTGAGAATGGATTGTGGTCGCTAATATCTCCTAAAGTTGCTCATCATTTACTCTCCTTGTCTAATTCACAAAGTATATAGCTCTTATAATATTCAGACACAAACACTCTCAGCATGAGAGTGCTCAAGTATATTGAGTGACCAGACTCTAAAGATGTAATATGATGAGTTTCACAGTTTTAACACAAAGCTTCCTCCCTGAATGGAGCAAGAATGGACAACTAAAAAAGCACACACTCACATCATCGTCATGGTAGCGGCTCTCAACACATGTGGATGAAGTGTTGAGCTGCTGACAGCCCACACTATTAATAATAGTAAGGTGAAAGTAATTTTACAGGCTTAACTTACAGATAATTTATTTGAAGTCAAACAGAGGTGTAAATGTTTTCCTGATCACTGGAAAGTTTAAGCGTGACATCTCTTATAAGTACTGCTGCACAGTTACCACCAACTTTCAACAGACGGTCATTTTCCGTGCGTGACTGTTAGAACTTTTTTTTTTAATTAGACAGTTTGTTGATTTGATGCTGCGTAGAAAGGGGCAAATGTTAAATCTGTCAATTCGTCAAAATATACAAAAACAGCACATGCACAGAGACGCTGTTTGCTCGTCATCACAGTCAGGGGAATGTTTAACCCTGAGTGTGTGTTTTGTGAATGAAACAGTGTCCTCTTGGCTCTTTTTCACAGGTTTGACTGACACTCAAAACGCACAATCCTTTTGTGAATCAGGGCCTCAGTTTTTTTTTTTTCATGTTTTTTAAGTCTAACTATTTCACTTGTGTTCAAAATGGAAATAGTTTTCAATGAAAAATTATAAAGAAGACGTGTGGGTCATAAAAACGTATGTTGTCGACCATTTGAACCACATGCAACATTTGACTAAAGGAGTCATTTAATTTGTTCTAAAGGAAGAATATGCAACATTTTACACATACAGTACCAGTCAGATGTTTGGACACACATGATTGAAATGCATGTTATTATCTTCTGGACATTTTAATCTAAAGGCTTATGCTTAAAGCTTATGCTTAGGTGAAGTTGATGCCTAACTTCACTTAAAATGTGGAAAATAGTAAAAATAAGAGAAACCCTTCTGTTAGTAGGTGTGCTCTAGATACAGCTAGTATACTGTACTATTGATAATACTGTTACTGTTGTGTGTCCAAACTTTTGATTGGTAGTGTAAATGGAGTCATGACTGAGTAAGAAGTGCATGTCCTGCTGGTTGTGTTGTTGTGAGAGCCGTGTTTACATCATTTTACATGGACAGGACGTCTGGCTCCTCCCCTTGTGTATAAAGCTGTTTTAGTCAAGGACCAGAAAATAGAAGAATAATATACTCACTGCTCATTTGGATGTCACATGAAGTTTTTAGATCACAGTCATTCAGTGTAAATTTACATGCAATGTGAAGCTAAAAGCTAACTAAAGAGCGCTAACATTAGCCTGCTAACACAACAATGCAGGACACAGACAAATGCTGCTCGAGCAAAGGACAATTTTGTCCGCCTCAAGCTCAGCGCCTGACTCGGATGAAGGTGTGTCGCTGGAGGAGAGCGGAGGTTTCATTATTGCGGAGGTGTTGCATAACAGCAGTTTGTTTTGGCTTCATGCTGGGGCTCAATGACGACATCTACTGGATCAAAAGGTCACACATTCTTCCTTTAAAGCAACATTTCAAATATGTTGTTGTTTTTTAAGATTTATTTTTTACAGTGTGGTGCTATGAAGGTTCTCTCTTTATGATACTTTTTTTATTTAGTATAAAGCACTGTGAGTCAACAACTGTTACTAACACCTAGCAGAAGTAAACGTGTCTTTGTTCTGTAAGTTTACCAAGAAACTCCATCCTAATAACATCTGCCATGTACTGTGACATTCATAAACAAGTCTGTTTTTTGTTGTTGAATGGTTTTAGACGCTGATCCATCACTCAGTGCAGAAACGCCAAAGACTCATGTTGTTCTCATGTGTTCTGGAAAATTAAAGGGAATTTTCACCACGTTTTAATAATGAGGTTGTCGTATCAGTGTTGATGGTAAATTAATGACATCACACAGTGACTTATGATGTTCGACAGAGTATTAGGGCCTCATTAAAGGAAAAAATATATAACTCTATTAACAAGATGCTTCACGTTCCTAATTTTTGTACAGGTGGCTGCTGCTCTAATAATAACTTTCTTGTATATGTATGACTTTAATCACAAAATCTCTAATTAATTTTCCCCTCAATGTGGCCCTAATACTCCTTCATAGTCTTACAAACATACTTACAGAGGAAAGTTAAATGTGGAGGGACATGTTTGCACTCTTACCCTCTTTGATATTTTGCACATCTCTCTCTCTCTATCAGTTCTGCCCTGTGAGGTATGAAAAGTGTTTTTTTTAAATCCCGGCCCCTGTGTTAATTTTCTTTTTGTTCTCTGAATTCTCACACACTGTTTATCCGTCCACAGCACACAGGAGACAATCAGAGGAGAGTATTTTAAGGTGCTGTTCAGCCCTGTGAACATCAGGTGACTCCCATCAGTGATCCAGCCCAGGTTTATTTCTAACAGCACACACACAGGGACGCATGATGGATCACAAGACCGCCACAAGAACAGAGATTTTGTGATTTCTGCAGACTTCAGGAAGGGAGAGAGAGGTTCTGTAGAAATCAAAGACACTATTTATTCAGAGAAGGGATGCAGAATCAGCAAAAGAGGTTCCGCTGTCCTGTTTCTGAAAACACAAGAGTCATTGAACTTTCCATACCATGCGTGGTTATTTCAAACCAACATTAGAATCTGTTTTGCTGTGGACTGTACCCACTTGAGGGGCCGTATCTTTTATTAAATGAATGCTTTGGTTAGTGGATAGAGTGTGGCATCAACCTGCGCATGCCTTGGCTCTAAATGTAATTGCCATGCAATATATCAGCGTCAGTTGGCCTGGGGATACTTTGTCTTCTTTTTTGTACAACAGAAGGCGATTGAGACGTGTCCATATAAATACAGTCAGAGGGTGAACTAACATAGTTTGAGCTTCAAGTGTGACATCAGAGGTGAATGATGCATATATCTTTTTTTTTTTTGGGGCCTTTAATTGAGAGACAGGACATTGGACAGAGTCAGAAATCAGGGAGAGAGAGAGTGGGGAATGACATGCGGGAAAGGAGCAACAGGTGGGACTCGAACCCGGGCTGCCCGCTTGGAGTACCAAAGCCTCCACACATGGGGTAAGTAAGGTCTTTTTACCTGCTCTTTTGTAACATAACAAAGAGTAAGGTCTTTTTACCTGCTCTTTTGTAATGTTAACAGACAAAGAGTAAGGTATTTTACCTGCTTTTTGTAAAGTGTCTTGAGATAACACTTGCTGAGTTGACGCTATACAAATAAAAATTGATTGATTGAGTGATTGATGGGGGGCCCGCACTAACCACCAGCGCCCCAGTAAAGTTATGTATTGTTAATGTATTGTTACTGTGTTGTTTTTAGCTCTGCCTTGTAAAATGATCTCGAGTGCTTTGAAAGGCACCTTTAAATAAAATGTATTATTATTATTATAAGAGGTGAATGGCTGATGGAGCTCATGGTGTAGCACTCAGGTTTAGATGATAACTCAGTACAGAGAATCGTTCTTAACCTTTCTATCTGGTTAAGTGTTTTATTATTTTATCCTCTCTTTATACCAGCCAGGCTTGAAACCTCAGCTCAACAGCTCCACAAATCCTCCAAACTGGTCCTCTGGTTTAATCAGCACCTCCTCTGAAACAGTTTGAACACACTCTGAATATTATTACCTTCATGAAGGGGAGATTTATTGAGCTGGCTTCAGACTTGGCTCCTCAGAGTGCTGAGCGAGCAGGACTCATGTAAAGTATATCAGAGAGCTGAGAGCTGCAGGGCCGACATAACTCAGAGAGCCGAGGCTCCGACTCACATTCAAGTCGCTCCAAACTGCTGTTGTCACAAGATGTGGAAGTTTTAAGAAACTCGGACACAAATGATGTAGAAGAGGGATAACTAGAGTTGTCATGATACCAGAATTATAAACTTCAATATGACAAGTTAAATCAAACGATATTGATACCTGTTTTAATACCAAGGAAACAAAATAAAAGTCATGAGCACCCAATATTTGATCATTTCTTCTATTTAATTGCCAAAGAATGCCGGCAAACTCCTAAATGTTGTCTAAATTTGACAAAAATGCTGGCAACGTTTCTGTACAGAAACCTTACAGATGTTTTCTTGCAGTTTAAACAATGTTTAGGTTTTTGCCTGTTATTTCTGATGGATTCATGCCTCTCCTAATCACCTGTCATATGAAACAGATGTAGTTTTGGTACTTTTTGATACTATTGATCATTTAAATAACAGACATTGTATTGTTTGAAAGCACATGGTAACAGAAAGATAGGAGTATCGAACATTTTGACAACCTTAGGGAAACCAGATCGGCCTTTAGTTATTCTTGGACGCTAGGATGTTCCAGAAACAATGTTGAGACGTTTTAGTTCAAATATGAAGCCAGATGAGAGTCTCCCTCCAGATGTTCTGCTTCTTTCTTGATGACTTTTATCTGCAGCATTAAAGTGATGTTGAGTTGATGATCTCAGGCTGAAATGGGATCGTGTAAAGCGGTAACAGGTTGTGGTGCTGTAACAGCAGCAGATGGTTTCATGTTTCTGTATGCTGCAGGGGGCTGTGAACTCGACACGTCTTTTATCAGCTGTTAGGAGCTCTCTGACTCCTTCAATACCTTTATTATGGTAGAATCGGAAAAGAAGCTCTAACATTGAAAAGATTTACTTCAAGAGTCAAACAATGTTGCAATTTATGTGTTTTTCTTAACTGGACAAAACAGCTACTGGTCCTGATCAGTACGCAAAACTGTTGTGTTATTTTCACTAAGACTTAACAAATAGAGAGCAGGCATGATCAGAAATAAACCTAATTATTTAAGAGGATTGAATGGCTTGCTAAACCTGTGCATATGAATCATTGAGAAACCCCTTTATTCACAAAACACACACAAAGGGTTAAATGCACCTTTCTTTGCGCTGCAGGGCAGATAGCGTCTCTAAATGGATCTTAATGCACTCATTTTGGTGGAAAAAAATTGCAAAAAGCTTCTCATTCACAAACACCGGCACGAACAGCCACGTGCAGTTAAAGGAGAAAAAAACGTCTATTGAGAGTTGGTGGTAACTGCACCGCAGTATTTATGAGATGTCACGCTCAAACTTTCCAGTGATTGGGAAAACAATTCTACCTCTGTATGACTTATAAATGAATGATCTGTAAATATGACTTTGACATTAATATAACCAGGAGTTCAATCAGTACGGGGCTGTCAGCAGATCCACTTGTATAAAAACCGGTCTGGAGCCGTTACCGTGACGACGATGTGAAGGTTAGGTTTTTTCTTCTGAATTGTCTTTTCTTACTCTATTCAGAGAGGAAGCTTTGTTTTATATGGCAAATCTCCCATGATGCACCATTATTGGAGCTATTAACGGTCGCGATCCATTCTTCGTGAATCAGGTCAGTTATCTTTCCAACCAGAAACGGCTGTGCAATATCTTTTTTATGTTGTGTGACTTTGGTGTTATTTAGTGGTTATCTTAGATCCAATACAATATCTGTGTGGTGATTGGACATTTCTGTGTATTTTTCCTTGTTTGGCGCTTGTGTTTTTGTTCTTTCAGAGGCTGGGTGTGGCTTATTGGCTGCTGGAGCTCTCTGCAGTCACTCACCTGTTCGTCATCTGTAATCACCGGCTGCAGCATTTATACCCTGGTTCAACTCTCCCAAACTGCCAGATTATTTCCGCCTACACCGTGGTAGATTGGCTTCACAGTATCAGTAAACTTTTTGTGCTTTGGATACCTGTCACTAATTATTCCCCAGTGCCTCACCACCCAGCCTCTCATTCAATCCTCACCAGCCTTCACCAGCCTCCCGTCAATAAATACCCCTTTACCCACCACCCTGTTTTCCGGTCTTGCTTTGGGGTCCACTTAAAAACCTTTAAGATCATAACAATCTGTATAACACAAAATAAACAAACAACAACAAGTGATTAAGGCAGCATTAGATCATCAAATCCTGTGATCTGAGAGGTAAAATGACTGTTTTAATCTTCATTTTCAAAACTTTTTGTACCTATTTAGACTAAAACAATAAAAGAAATAGGGGCCGGGTTTTAAAATAATTGACTTGCCCTTTAATGCTTCAGTATAACCGAGTGTTTTTGGTGGTTGTAAGTAGCTCAGGGCTCATGTTGGTGGATCAAATGTTCTTTTTTCACATTAGGGATTAGTGGAGTGGACAGGAGGCCTCACTGTCGGGCCTCCTCTTCTCCTCTCCTCTGCTCCTTACAATAAACTCAATTCATGGCTGCTCCGCGGTGCACAGGGGTTGTAGAGGACAGGTGAAATTTGAATACCAAACCTGTGCCCCCTCCAACATGTGCGTCTATCTGCAGGTATACAATGAACAATAAGCATCTTTCTCCTTCTCTCCGTGCTCTGGTATTTTGAACTGAGTCCAAGCAGAGCTGTTTCTTTCTCTCCTTCCTCTGGCTCATTAAAACCTCTTTCACAAAAGAGCTGCTGTGTCATCCTCTGAGTCTGTAAAATAATGACTCCGTTTCTGTAAAAGTTTTGCCTCACCTCTTAGTACTCGCTGTGCGGTCTAATTTAATTTCTGAAAATTTTTAAAGCCTTTTTTTGGCTTAAAAAAATGCAAGACAAACCTCCCCCGCTTTAAGTAATTACATTACAGCACGCTGTCCAAAGATTGGTTGCTGTGAAAGAGGGAATGATTGATCAAACACCCAATGGACTTTGGCCAGAGTCAGAGCAGATGGCTGGTGGTTATTTATTTCCGCTGCTGATAAAATGTGAGTAATCATGTATTAAACATTCACAATTCCTCCAAATGTAATTATTAAACACATCAAGTTAACTAACTCACAGAGACACAGACTAACGCTCCCATTCCCAATATGATGCAAATAAAATAG